ACGACTGGTACGCTGGTAGAACAACTCCTACAAACATTGGAACAACAAGGGTTCTATGGTCTAGGCTGTAAGGACGGCTTATACTTCAAGGACATATTGGATATTAAAGTCGTTGTGAATGGTAAGATTGTATACATAAAAAGGAGTATTGACAACGGTTCCGAGAATTTTGGATTATAGGGATTGGATAAGTTGGAGGTTGGAACGTTTTATTGAACCCCAACGTATCTTTGTCCATATGGGTCTCAAAATAGTAGTATAAATGAGTCGTTTGTTTTGCAGAGTCAGTTTGGATCCTTTGACCAGCAATAATTTAAGAAGTCTGAAACGTCTCTTTATTCTTGTCTTTTGAATTGCGCGTCTGAGTTCCATTAAGTCCTTTGTCAACGTATAGCCCAAGATAGCAGATTACATTAGCTGGTGGGAGAGGGATACAATTGTAGTGTTTATTCTCTGAAGGATGAAAGTGACATATTCACCTTTTGGTATGTTTATTGTCATCTTCCGCCGCTTGAACCATTTCTCGACGGATGTGACGTGGGTCTGCAGGTTTCTGGTTGAGATGACAGGCATCATCCGTATAAGTGGTGAGGATCGTTTCGGGAAGGGTAGGAATGTCTGCGGAGTATACTATTGGATGGGTCCTAAGATACTTCCTTGTGGTACCCCTGCATCTGTGCGATAGATGATAAAGGGGCTGCTGATGAAAGTATCTGTCGGTTAAGTAGATTTTACGATCAGGTAGTATGTAAACGGGAGGAGTATCTTAAATTCCAGAGCAGCTCCTAGTGTCATACTCGATTGAAGGGATCTTCACATCTAGGAAGGGCACTGGGGCAGCAATTTTTTTGTTCCAGTGCGGTAGTCAACACTGTTAATTCGTTAAAATTATGTGTTTACATGTTGTTTTCATGCATAAACAAAAATACATGAAAAATTTTAAAAAATTGCAATTTTATGCAGTAAAAGTGAAAAAGTGCTATTTCTTGCAAAATGATTATTTTGAGATCGTGAGATGCGGTCTGGTGTGACGTAGGTTTTAGAAAAACATTTTCTTTATCGTGCCAACGTTTCGATCTTTATTGAGATCATCTTCAGGGCTCAAAGTCGTTTCTTTGGATACTACATTTTGCAAGAATTTGGCTGCATTCCAGTGGACACTCTCAACACGACACAGAATAATGACACATCAACACGGAAAACAAAAACTGAGCCCTGAAGATGATCTCAATAAATTTCGAAACGTTGCACGATAAAGAAAATGTTTTTCTAAAACCTACGTCACACCATCTCACAATCTCTAAATAATCAAAGTTAACAAAGTTCATTGCACAAGAATCCGGTCTTTAGTTATAAGTTTGTAAACTCTTAATAAAATAATTCATTTACCTCTTATAAAAATAATTGAAACTTCTCGATTATTCAAGTTACGAGAATTCAACGTCAATATTTGAATTTTAAAATTTAAAAGTAAAAATATTTTTCTGATATTTCCTCGGTTGTCCAACTTGTGCCTATTTCATACGTAAAGCATGCCCGGCTACTTTGGAAAAGTTGGTGGCCATTTAGTACCCAGGGGTTCGAAATGGCTCTCCTCGGCCTAGCCACAAATTTAAACTTAGAGGATGAACAACTTGTTAACGGGTGATGAAGTTCGTTGAGATGGGAAGGAAACTAATCGAATCTCAAACTCCCTTTCAAATTACCGTCTTTAAGGTAGCCGTGAGTTGAAACGGACAAACAAAACAACGCGTAGTTTGAAAACCCCGTGTTGATTTTGAAATCGTTAGCTAAGGAAAATTAAGATTCAATAGTACAGAACAGGCAGGTTGTACAATAATAAAATTAAATCGATTCTACATATAATATACAAAAATAAATACTAAACATAATCTTTCTATTTAGAAATTTAAGTAAAACGAGTTTGGAATATTTCAAATCCTCAATATTCGAGCTAGAAGAAAAGGCTTTTGTCATCGTGAAATAAAATTTCCTTAATGCACAGCATTCTCGAACGGATATTGGAGAGTCTATTGGATTGATAGTGGAACTGGAGGATCATGCATAATTTATGTTCTCCGCCCGTGGAGGAACTTCTAGCTGGGATGAAAACGGCTCAAAGGGTCATTGTGATTTAGCTAATATGCCTTTTTTGTTATAATGAGCTAACGGTAAAAAAAAATTAATGAATCGGTATATTTTTATAAATTGTTCTATTCTATCAATGGCTTTAAGCTTTTCTTGGTATCTCCTCGATTCTGATCTATCAACATTTAGTGTAACAGGTGGGAAAAATCACTTTACCGATTTGAATTTCAAAAGCCTTGATTCAGCCTGTCGGAATTTTCTAAGGAACCTCTTTAGCAAGTTAACCGTCCGAAAATAATTTTAATCTATTAAATCATTTAATCAAAACAACACACATGTGTTTAATTTTGAACCATTGTGGTGACATAAACGAAATAAACAGAAAACATGATGAATAATTGATTGTCCCTTCATCCTGGTCTGCATATTCTCGGTGTTTTTGTCCATCAGATTTTCTTCTCTATGAGTTTTCAGCTGTATTCTCGTTACACTTTCAATTTTTCGTAACCATATACAGTTTCAAAGGAAATAATGTTTAATCTTGATTGTTTGAACGTTTAGTTGATTTTTTTTTTTCCGGGGCTTCCGACATCTAGGTCATTTCAGCCCCCACTAAGTCTATATTCTATACACGTTCATACAAATAAATACATTTATACACTTAAATACATCCATACAGTACACTCATTCCGTTTGGTCGGTGGAGTACTTGATATTCCTCCACCGACCTACACTTAAACTAAACTAGATTGGGGTCGATGGGGTACTTTTATAAATATTCCGCCATCGACCCCGAACACACACTCACCCCCAAGGACTCTTCTTAAATCCGGCGGCATGCCTACACGCTCTCTGTATGGAGCCAAGGCATGACACGCCTCTATTATGTGGGACACATCGAGCAACCTTTCTCTGCATAAAGGGCACCTGCGCGGGCTTTGGGTTAGTTGATTATTGTAGATGGATTTATAACTTTTCACATCGGTAAAACTCAAATAGCAATTTAAGCAAGAAAAAATGTCAACTTTTAATTTAAATCCAGCTTTTTAACAATTTTTGGCCGAAAAGATGGTCCAGTATTTAGGTAGTATATAAGTGAGCCAATAAAAATGGTTTTAATTAAAAAAGCATTTTATGCTTTCCAATTTTATTATCGTATTGACTCAATAAGAGCTATTTAAAATAGTTCAGTGTATTGAAAGTGTGTGTGAAAAATGGCAAAAAGGAGGTAAAATTCAAAAGGTGAGGTTGAGATGGGAAGTTAGTGTCTGAGTGGATCGAGGTCACGATAGCTCAAGTGGTAGAGCAGCGGCGTATCTAGCCGAAGATCGTGGGTTCGAATCCCACTTGTGCCATTGACTTTTTTATCTCAACTAAAAACCTTAATTAATTGTAATAGTTCAGTGTGTTGGCCAAATCCAACTCCTAACCCTAAATCTGACCTTGGCGTCACTAAGGTCATCACAACATAGCATACCGCAACATACCGCTAACCCTAGGCTTTTAAGAATAAATCGGAAAGTGAAAAACGGTTATTTTTATTCTGTTACTCACTATATTGAATTGAACCTAAACCTAGCTTTAACTCTAATCCGTACCTAAAGCTAACCAACCTTTAAACCTTGGCCTAACCTAAACCAAACATAACCCTCAGAATTTAAAAGTGAAAAACACTCATTTTTGTTGACACCTCAATATAAAGGACTGAACGTAAACCTAACCCTATCCCGATCCTAACTCTACTGTTTGAAAAATAAACTGAAACGTGAAAAACGTTTTTATTGCCTCACCTCAATACGACTGAACCTAAACCTAACTCTAACCTGATCCTAACCCTCAGATGCACCTCCATATATTTCGAATATTGGATTAAGTTGTAAAATTTTCACCTGATGTAAAAAAATATATATACTAATTAAGTCATAGTATAAATTAAATACAGCGTTTCCATTTCTAGGAAAAATTATAATCGTGTAAGGTAAAGAATCTGTAATTTGGACTTCTATGTAAGAAAGTGGTCGTAACAAATTGAAATGTATTCTAGAATATCAATTGAGAGTATGATATCCAATAAAATTTATTTGTCTGTGAAAAGATCATAATTTTCATTACATAGCCCAGCCTATTGTTTATTAAATATTTGTTGTCAATTTTCCTGTTTTATTATTTTTATTATTATTTGATACCTTGTTCACCCAAAATATAGTTTAAAAAGTAATTAAAGCAAAGCATAATAATTCAGAATTATGGTGGTAATTTATTAAAACAATAAGTGTATATGCACGCTGGTCGGTTGCACAAGCTAATTGAAATTTTAAAAAAAAAGCAATAGTTTAAAATAGAGTACTCTCCAAGTTGAGAGGCTGCGCTCTCTCCCACTTTGATCGTCCCAAGCGACTGGCATGAGGAGCTGTGGCCGGTTAAAATGCACCCTATGCTTTGGTCAAAGGAAAGATGTAAATTTAACCAGACCTGCCTACTTTGAGAGTTTAGTCTGAGCCTGGCATGATATGAGTTGAACGGCGATCTTGACACGGCACTCATGTAACTTTCTCACAAATATTGTTTGGCGAGTTATTCGCGTAAGTAAAAGGATGCAAATAACACAATAGAAATGGAAGCAAGGAAAACTAGTAGTTAAGACATGGAAGAACATTTCAAAGCAAAACAAATTTTATGTTGGAAGGAAATACGTCAGAGACACAAGAACTGTATGGTCTGATCAGAGACAAAATGAGCACTCTATGTTGTGGAAGCGATTCAGAAGCATAACGAATAATGTTTTGTGTACGAAGGCATGAACACACAATGGTCCACTTCAAAAATGGTACTAAAAACCATGTGAAACAATGGGAACAAAAAACAGTGTTGGGCTTTGGGGTGGCAAACAATAATGATATTTAACAACAATAAATAATCAATAATTTTTACTTAAAATTGAATACTGGTCTGAGAATAACATGGGACCAATTAAACAAAAAAATTTTATTATCACAATAAAATTCTTTTTAAAAAAATATACAATAGATGTTTTGTATACAATAAAATAATCGTTTATATACAACGTTTATATGCTTATAGGGGATCAAGGCTAATCTTCACCATCCGAGGATAAATCATCATCAATAAAATCGTCATCATTGCCTTCTTCTTTTCCATCATCTACATCAGCCTCTTCTTCATCATCCTCTTCTTTTACACCATCTTGGTTGCTCTCTTCTTTTATGTCTTGAGGGCCAGATCTGTAATAATATCAGCCCATTGGTTAAACTATATTCAGCAGAAAATGTGCTTGCATTTCAAATAATTGTACTAATATATTTTTATTTAAAACCATAACAAATACTAATAAGATTAGATTATGTAGGAGCCGGCCTTTACAACCTGTGCTCCTCGACCAGGTCTATAAAGCATCACTCTTTTTTATCTAGAGCTCCTCATTAAGCTTAAGGCTTTCCACGAGACCCCAAAGCTTTTTCAAGGGCTCCTATGTGCATCCTACAGGCCCTGGCTTTTCCTCTGCCAGGATTAGAAATCTCAGCCTACATAGGCCTTCGCAACAACAGAGGACATAAGACATGTTCCACTGTTTCGTTTTCTTGGCTTGTTTCTGCCACTCAGATTCTATATAAATGTCTTTGCAATCTGCAGTGTCTAATAATAGGATAAAATTCGGCTAAGATAAACAATTTTAGTCATACTTACGATGTAACGTTATTGACATATTGTTCAGCAGCTGCTTTTACCGCCAGCACCAATTTCGGCGTGCCATAGGTTTCCTCAAAGCTCACCCATTTATTGTAGAGTGATTTCATTTTTCTAACTGGCAATTTATGACTCTTAATCCGTTCAAGTACATTTCTAGGGATAAATAAACAAAATAATTTATATTTATAAAACAAGTTACTTTCTTTTTCTTAAAATTACCTTGCTAAGTCAATTCTATTGGACTTAACAAGCATATCGACATATACATTCCATAAGTCGACCCGTTGTGGGTACGACGTCAAAAGGTTTTCAAAAAGGGAATGGGCCTGCTCTGGAAAACCGTGCTTATTCTCCAAAAGTGCAAACCTTGAAATGAGGGTCACATCTGTAAAACAATGTTGTTTTTTTTATTACTTATTTAATTGTTACAAATTAGTGTTGGCTATGTTTTAACATACGGTCTTTTCTTTGAAGGGACAAGAGGGACCTTTGAAGAAATGCTCTGGCTTTTTCAAAAAGTCCAACTGTCATGAGAGCGCCTTGGCAATGAAGCCAACAATCCATCCTGTCCCTGTATTTCCTTACTAGCTGATTGGCAAGCTGTTCTACTTCCTGTAAAATTACAACTGTAAAAACATATAATAATAATAATAATAATGTGGGAAGTTTAGGGACCAACAAACAGCTGAGTAAGCCCCAGCCCTTTGTGTGTTTTTACTCCTTTTCAGGTCTTTTCCGCATATTTTTCAGTCTGCAACCATTTGAGCAATCTCAATGACTCTCTGCTTTTATGAAAACTAAGTCGATATACTAAAATGCTAGCCTCCCATTTGTACCTTAGGCTGTCAACTATAGAACAGATATAAAGCATACAATACATCACCACAAACAGAAGTTTGGTCACAATCACTCAAACACTAAAGATGACGAAATGCATCTAAATTAACAAAAATCACCGAGGATAGGCAGATCAGGATGACAGGAAACAAATGTGGAACTCTGGTCACGTTCACTCCCCCTGAGTACTCCATATTCCTCGAGACGGGATCAAATCTACTCCATTTTCAATAACTACCTCTCATAATGTCATGAAATGCCGTGACCTCCTGAACAGCAGCGTCAAGACCAATAAGGAAGTCTTGTAGGCCAGGGGTGATGAAAGTGAGGAGGATGAACACCCAAAGGAATGGGCAACTTGTTCCTTCAGCAAGTTTGGTCCTCACTTTTTACACCCCTAAATGCCTGGTCAAAATAAGGGCGGCCTCCTGTAGATTAACCCTCCGCCGGGCGCAGCTGGCCTAAGAGGCCAGCTAAACACCTTTTTCCCTGCCATTCTTTTACCTGGCGGCCTAACGGGACGCCCCTCCTAGTAATTTCCTATTTAGGGGTGGTGCATAGGAATCCCTAATTCATTCTGTCGTCAACCTTCATTCTGCTAGCCTAGACCCATCCTGGATTGTCGAGCCAACTGCGCCTGACTGCATCATAAATTAAAAGATAAGTTGTTTCACGATATTTTTGTTGTAATCGTTCGTTTTACTTTTCAATTCAGTTTTCCTGACTTTTATTCTAGATTTCCTGCTGAAATTGACAAAAAAATGTATGATTTTTCCAACCCTAATGATGTTGCCGAAATTAGAAAACTCCTCGAGGATGATGCTTCTGATGATCCAGCACTGGTTGAGGATTTTGGCAAAGAAAGTGATATAGATTCTCTGGACGAAGTAGAGCAATGTGACGAGGACTCAGAAACGGAACCAGAAGATGAAGGGACATCTGAGAAGGTGGAAGATGATTTTTTTCTTGGAAAAGATAAGCAGACAAAGTGGACCAAGAAGGCATCTCCAGCTTCTTTTCGTCAGGTACAAGGTCACAATATCATTACACACCTTCCAGGGGTAAAGGGAGATGCTAGAAATGCAAAAACAGTATTGCAATGTTGGGAATGTTTGTCCACTACAGAAATTTTGGAATTGATTGTAAAATATACCAATCAATACATAGATTCAGTCAAATCCAAATTTGCCAGAGAGAGGGATGCCAAGGAAACAGACATCATTGAAATCAAGGCATTCATTGGTTTATTATACCTTGCTGGAGCATACAGAGGAAATCGTCATAGTCTGGAGGAGCTATAGGGTACAGAAGGAGATAGGATTGAGAAATTTGGCCTGGTGATGAGCATAAAAAGATTCAAGTTCCTCATACATTGTATTCGTTTTGATGATCGTACGAGCCGGAAGAACGGAAAGAATATGATCGACTTTGCCCAATTCGTGAAATGTTCGATTGTTTTGTTCAAAACTGCCAAAAAAACTACCTCCCCGGAGAAAATGTTACAATTGATGAAATGCTGCCAGGGTTCCGTGGGAGGTGTGCATTCAGGCAATACATTCCCTCCCCAAACAAATATGGCATAAAGGTATTTGCCCTTGTTGATACCAAAATGATATACACCTACAACATGGAGATATACGCAAGAAAACAGCCTGAAGGGCCATTTTTTGTCAGCAACAAGCAAAGTAAAGAGGTGAAACGAATCGCCGAACCCCTTTTTGACACAGGGCGCAACATAACCACTGATAATTGGTTCACAGACATAGATCTTGTTAATGATTTGAAAAAAAAAAAAAAGAGGTTTTCTTATGTTGGCACAATTAAAAAAAATAAATAAAAGACAGATACCAGACTATTTTGTCAATATCAGAGGGAGGACTCAACACAGCAGCTTGTTCGGCTTCAACAACGGTAACACTTTGGTTTCATACGTTCCAAAGAAAGGGAAAAATGTGATTCTCGTTTCATCACTCCACAAAAATAATGCCATTGATCAAAATACCGGAGAGCAGCAAAGCCAGAAGTGATTACGTTTTACAATACCACCAAAGGTGGAGTTGACACTGCTGATCAAATGTGTGCAACGTTCAGTGTGAGCCGGAACACAAGACACTGGCCGATGGTCATCTTCTTTGCATGTCTGAACGTAGCCAGCATAAATTCTCAAGTGATTTCGATTGCAAATAAACTTGAACCGCTAAAAAAGAGAATCTTACTCAAAACTTTGTCTCATCAACTTACGATTGGACAACTAGCCCGACGAAGTCTAAATACAAGTGGAATGCCGACTCACCTACAATCCTGCTTGAAAAGGTTTTAACCACAAGAAAAACCTGAAAATACGTCCACCTTACCTCCAAAAAGACGCAAATGTGGCATGTGCATGGCTGAAACAGGATTTAGAAGGATGACAAATTACAAATGTAAAAATTGTCATCAACCGATCTGCCTTAGCCAGGTAAATCCACTGTGCCAAGCCTGTTATTCAGCTGCAGATTTCGAAGATTCAGCATAGGTTTCTGCCCACTACAGCGGCAAAGAATGGTTGCACCACATCAGACTATATACTACATTTTTTTCCAGTATTTTGTGATAATATGATACTTGGTTTGATTAATTTTTGAAAACTTGTTGTACAAAATTCATAATTTTGGTTGTTTTAGTTTAAGCTTCATTATATTCAATAAACTCGTTTGTTTCCATCCAATTTGGTGTATTTGATTTCCGTAAATCCAAGCAAAGGCTACCTTAACGGTGTTTTGATTAAATTGATTAGAGGGGAAGGGGGAGGGTAAAACAGGTAGGTGGCCTCTCAGGCCGGGTGTGCCTGGTTTTGTTTCATTCAGAGGTGCGCCCAATGGAGGGTTAAAGGCCACCCTCACATACCAGCCCCACTACGTTGCTACAAATGCCAACGACTTGGGCATATCTTTGTGCACTGCAGGTGCAAATGGAGGGAAGCTAACCCGAAAGAGTTGGTGTGCAGCAACCTGCACCCTGCATTAACTGCGGTGGAGCATACACTGCCCACTCTAGCATTTGCCTTATCCTCACAGAAGAAAAAGAAACACAGTGACTAAAAATAGTAGATAGACTCTTCTACTGGGAGACTAGGGGTGACACGTGTAGCTGGGCAACCAGCTGAATCCGCCCCAGGCCTTGCCAGTAGACATACTGGTCTGGGAAAGTCTCACTGTGTTAAATCTCTATGCCATAATCTACTATGCCATACCTTTACCGAGCTAAGTTCTTGTAGCTTAGATCAAGGAACATTGGTTTTGACTCGTCTTTACAGACGGGTCTAAGAGTGATGATGGTGTGACATGTGACATGTATCGTGAGGGTGGGTCCACTTCATGGTTCCACACTGTAGCATTTATATAGCAAAACTGTATGCAATTTGGCATGCACTTGGGATGATTAAAAAAAATAGTGGCTCTGCCTTCCTCCTCTGTACCAGCTCCCTCAGTACGGTTACTGTGACAGGTTTTCCATCAGCCCTTTCATAGTGCTTTTGTTAGAGAGATACCTAGAACTGAAGCATCTCGGCAAAATGGTTGTCTGGGTACCTAGGTGTGTGGGTACCTACACATACATAGGTCTGGAGAGTAATCAAAATGCAGGCAAGGCAGACTCCGAACTTAACCACTGCGATCCAGCCCTCTGGCACTAAGAATGCAATAAAAAATGTTATTAAAAGAAGATAGCAGTGTCAATGGGCCAAGTCAGCAGAGAAGCTCTCACGTATCAAAAGCACTGTTGATGGGTTGCCCCTTGGCGGATGTGACCCTTAGAAGAAGGGTCATCCTCACCTGATTAAGAATAGGCCATGCAAGGTTGACACACGGACACTAACTTTTGAGCCAAAACCCACCATGCTGTTCTATGTGAACCACCTAGTTGAAGTGTATAATTCTTTTGCTCTGTACAGAAAGCATGCAGGAATGCCATCCGATTTGAGAGTCATGCTTGAGCATGGCAACTAGTATTTGGGTCCCCTGTTTTATTCAATTCTTGGAGGAAACTATTTAGTAATAATAGTAGTGTATTCCTAGCTGAAAGTGAATGTATTTATTAGCGTGAATGTACTTATTAACATCAATGTACTTACTAGTTGAGTGTTTTTTTTTTAGCCATCTACCTTTTAAAATTAAATATATTAAAAAATACGTGGATGACTTAATTTTAATTATACCGAGGACTTTCTTGGGGCTCGTTGTGGACAAGTTTAATGCTTACCATCCAAATTTGGACTTCACGTGTGAAAAGGAATGTGATGGAAAATTACCATACCTTGATGTTTTGTTACTCAGGGATAATAACACTATACTTACAAAATGGTATAAAAAACAATCATCAGACAGGATCCTAAATTATAACTCCCTCCACTCTTTTAAATTGAAAATAAAAGTAATATACAGCCTAACAGATAGAATTTTTAAACTTAGATCCCCTCAATTGTACTATGAATGTAAAGCATTAGTTAAAGATATTTTAGTTAAACATCAATATCCTACCTCTCTTGTAAATAAATAAATTAATGATAGAATTTTAACATATAAGAATATGAGTAAAGAAATTGTAGTACCTGTTAACAATACCATTAAATTATACAGAGGTATCACATATGTGAAGGGCATTAATAACAAGCTCTCTGCCATGGTCAGAAATAGAACTGCAAACTGTGATATACCGACTGTGATAGCCTTAAAATATAAGAACAATTTGGGAAATATAATTTTTTCAAAATTGAAATCAAAAGTGCCAACACAACTGTGTAGCAATGTTGTGTATAAATTGTATTGTAACGAATGTAGTTCTGTGTATTATGGTCAAACTAAACAATTATTGAAAAATAGATGTAGACAACACGCCTACAACGTTAGAGATGTAAATAAGCAAGGGACTGCGCTTTCCCAACACAGTCAAAAATATAACCACACGTTTGATTTTAACAATGTTTCTGTTATGGATAAAGAAAAATTTTTAGGTAGAAGATTGATTAAAGAGATGCTATACATTCATAAAGATGGTAATTTGTGTAACCTTAGAACAGATATATCAAACCTAAGTGTAATTTATAGTTATATCCTTAACCAATAGCTTTAACAGTATAATATGTACCTGAATGTTTATAAGTGATAATTAATTTTTTTAGAATTGTTTCAAATTAATTTATAGCTTCTTTTAATTGTATAATTTGTGATATTTGATACCAAAATGTTAGGGAATTTTTTTATTTTATTTTTTTTATTTTTTATAGATTGAAGATTGAGCCAGTTGGCAATATTGTCGCGTTAGGAATATTTATTACCTTTGTTTACCAAAGGTGGGCTCTACCGGCTATCCGTTATCCTCATATGTACCTGTTCATATAATATAATGATTTTTTTCGAGTTAGTAATTAAGGAAAATTTAAAAATTGTATATTTGTTAATTTACTTATGTTAATTTGTTAATACAGTGTCCTGATGAAGGCGATATATTCTGCCGAAAGCTCGACAAAAAAATAAATGTTGTTTCTGACTTCATGGCCTCATCCCCATTCTACCTTTTGCAAAGAAAAAAGTGTGAACATGCTTGTGAGAAGACTGATGTTAGAATATCAAGTTATACAACTCATTCAGGTTTTGTTGTATAACATGTGTAAAGGGTGAAGGAGAATATCAAGTACTCCACCACCCTAATGAATAGTATGTAAATAGAAGTGAATATTTAAAAATGAACATGAGTATAAATGGGTTTGGAACTGCATGCATTGAGTGTTGACTTGACCTAGCTGTTGTGCAGACAGCACCACCCCTTACTGGAGCCCAACCTCCAGTGGCTGGACCGATAAGATTGAGGTCTGCCACCGGACTGCCAACAATAGCGGTGGGTCATTCTTGAGTCTGTTGGCAAATTACTGTAAATAGCAAAAGCTGGAATTGTCAGTGTACCTACATGTGCGGATATGAGCCTTTATAAATTCAAAACCAAATCCAACATGCAGGAATAGTGATCTATATAAATTACTACATTGCACTTCTTGGCACATCATTTTTCAAAAATTGTGAAATCGTAAATGAGTAGAGCATTTTTGGGAAGCAATTTGTGAATTAAATTATTACGGTCGAATCGAGCCACTTTTCTAGCAGGAAGATGTTTGAAACAAGAGTTGGACAGGTCAAGTTCTCAGGATGTGCGATGAAAGTACTCAGCAAAATAGCAGTTTTATCAAGTTAGTTTACCATCTATGTAGCTTCCTTGTAAAATGAAAAAAAAAAATTATGTTTAAAACTTACAACAGTTTTGCCAGATTCAGCATACATATCCAAAACCCTAGAATTAATGGCATAGTCATCATTAAATTTCAATGCTTCAGTCAGCGTCTCTTGGAAGACTTCCTAAAAAAAGCATTATTTATTTTTTTCTTTATATTGGCGGTTTATCAAATATGAATTGCATACAGGTGGACTGTACGTGTGATCTAAATTGAGCAATGCAATCCAGACATTTTGTTTCTCTTGTTCTTCCCTCATATTAATAGTTTTCAGTGCTCTTTTAGCAACAGAGCGAGCCTTGTCAAAATCTGCAGTCTAAAATTTATAAATTTAATAATTTTGTTGATTTATAAGTAATTGAAGTGTTGGTTACCTGTAAATGGAATGCCATGTACTGAATCCACCTTTTAGAATTGTTAGGTTCACCAAGTAAGATCCTATCAAAATGATCTGCTGATTGTGGATTTGAATCTGCTCTGAGCAGTTCTTCTTCTTTTTCCCTCATAAGCTTTTCTGCTTCAAGCATTGCTGCTTTCCTTTCAGCCGGTGTTAATTTCTTTTTTGGCAACTTTTCTTCTTCAGATTCCTATTTATTTATTTTTTGTAAGTAAAAGATAAGACCGAAATTTTAAATTTTCTATAAAAGCCTACCTCATCAGCAGATTCTTCTAAATCCCCAGCAACAACTTTTGTTAGATCTGATGGTGTCGCATTGAAATCAAAGCCGCCGACATCCATTAGAGATAGTTCATCTAATACCTTCCATTTTTGTTGTTTGATTTGTTGGGCTAAATCGGGTTCAGTCAAATACCTTTTCATTTGTAATAAATTGATTTCTTGTTCATCTTGACTTAAGTATTCTGAAAACTCGTCAACATTTTTTTCTTTCCTTTTCCTCTTTTGTTGTCTCTTTTTAGAATTTTCTTCTCCACTATCTACTTCCATTTCTTCTTGTTGAAGAAAACCACAATCTACACTGGCTTTCTTGCGTTTTGACAAATTGGCCTTTTCTTGTTTGGGCAAACTTCCTTTAACATCACACTGTAATGTAGAATCTTCAACATCATTAGACGTACTTTCAGCTTTGCTGGCAAGAAGTTTTAGAAATGGAGTATTTTTAAATGGTAACAACTTTGCATTTTCAGTAGTAATGTGTTTTGGAACAAAAGAGGTAAATTTTTCTTTTTTACATGGGTATCCAATACAATATGATTTCCAATGGCTGCAAACAAATTTAAACAAAAATTAAATTGAAAAATTAAATATTTCAATTAAATCGAATTTTTACCATAGGATTTTAATTTCCTGAAAGCCCTTGGCAAAGAAATTTACTTTCAAACTGTTGAGTACCCCTTTGCTTGGTATATAAGCAAATTTGTTTATTGTTTTAATCCACCCAATCATTAATAATGAATTACCAAATATAATCCGTACTTCCTGGATTTTTGGATGTTTATCCTGGCTTGTTTCTAAATATTAAATAAACATATATTATTAAATTGTTCAGTGATTGTGAAGGTGAATGACAAACCTATGTTTTCCTCGTCTTTTTCTATTTGAGAAGAAGGAACTGTATGAATTACATTGTTCAGTACATCATCGAATAAAACGACAACATTTAATTTGGATTTGGGCTGTAGATTTTTGTCTGAATAGATACAGACTTTCTTCCCAGATTCCGTAATTCCTACAGTCGCTTTCGAACTCTTGTCAACACTTTGAACAATGACATTTAAAGTGTCGCCAAGCTGGAATTGTTGAAATTGTGAAATCGACCCCAAAAAACTCTTTAGATTGTTAACTGCCCACTGAAACATGAAAAGTATCATGTTAGCCTTGTCTTTTTCCTCAAAAATTAATGACAAAAAGGTATACTTTTTCATCTGGATAAGTGCTCTTGTTTCGATAAAGTTCTATGTTACCATTATTCTTATTATACTGTTTTACTTGTAGCGAAGCAGGCTGATTGTTATAATAATACACAGTTGTGTATTGCGAATTCAAATCCTGAAACGATGATTGAGTTTATTGCTTAAACCCAAAATAATTAAAAATTTATTATACAAAATAAACAAACTTACATTCGTATGATCTTCTAAATTAAAATATATTTCTTTATTGAACATTGGCACAGGCACAGAAACCTTCATGACTGAATTGTTGATACTAATGGTACAAGGCAAAATCATGTCTGTCTCAAGTGCCTTCACCCCTTTGGATACAATGTTTTTCTTTTTCTGAAAATTTAAAATTCGAAATTGTAACAAAATTAATGCTAATCTATTTCAGTTGGTCCTATTAACCAAGGTATTTATTTTAATGTATTTATTATTTTTTAATTCAAAGAATGGCTGTGTTGAAAAATTAATGTCACAAGCATAACTCGAACCCACGACATCCAGGTCAATACCCCGACCACTCGAGCCATCGTGTCTTCTGCCCTCGAGACACCGGCTAATTATTGTAATAAAAACTGAAAAAATGTTGGTATACACAAAGGTAAAACACTACCTTAAAGAAATAGCAGACTGACTCTCTCAGGCTAAAGACGGCTCTTCCGTTACGATAATTGAACAAGAAAGCATCGCTTACTGTATCACCCAACTTATATTTGCTTAAAAGAAGATTCCAAAGTTCTGGATGATCGCTAAGATGATGAAGAGGAAGATCAGCTTCTAAAGTGCACAAAGAAAAAATTATATTAAACTTTTTTTGTCATATTTTTTAAGTTTTTGTTTTTAGTTTTCTTCTTTTTTTATTTCTGTGGAAAATGATTTTCAAGCACTATTCTTAGCCTCACTTATTTAATTTTTATGTTATTAACACACTTAATTTAAAATACAGTTTGTTAATTTTCTTTTTGAACAATTTGACATAATTGAGTAAGTAAATTTTTTTTTTTAAATATAAAACAATTGTATAATTTAATAGCAGATGTGTTAATAATATTATTTTTGTAAGTTTTTTCAAGTCTGTAAGGTATTTGGTAACTAAAGCGAAAACAAAAATAGGGTGTATGCGAGGGTTGTTGGATCATCCTATTGCTGTCTTACATCCCTAAACGTACATTTCTAATAACCGTCATCCCTCATGACTGGACAATTTTATTTTCCTCGGTGTTCCATTTATGTACTTTATTGTGCTCCCTCAGTACTCCAAACAATCCAGTAATTGGAACAGCAAAAAAAAACCTAGCTGAGATTATACTTATTTTCCCTTCTCCACTAGTACAATGATCAATACATTTTCCTCGTGTTAAGTATAAATAAAATTTTAAATAAGTCAAATTGCTGTCATAGAGGAATGTGAATGGCATCCAACAACCTGTTTGGTGTTGTAGAGGGGGTGATCAATGCATTCTTCACACTATAGTCAATTAAAAAACCATGAGCTCTACCGAGATTCAAAACTAGAACCGCTAGTGGGTCAAATATGAATCTGACGCCCTAAACACTCGACCACCGCGTCCCCATGTGTTAAGATCGTACATACTTCATAAAAAATTACTGCAAAAAGGAAATAAAATTCTCTCTCTAAGTGACAAATGTTAGTTTTATCTTCGCCTGACAAGGGGAAACTTCAATCAATCTGACCAATGAGTTCAATGTGGATAAGGACAACCTCTGACTTAAAAAAAAAAAAAAAAAAAAAAAAAAAAAAAAAATGTAAATTTATTCATATGACACAACCTCTGAGGAAGGTGGTAGAAATAAAACATTAGTTCATAAAATCGAAGCACAAGCCCCTGGTCAAAAAATATCTAAAGAGCGAAAAAAAAAAACAGGTAAAATAAGCTAAAGACACTTGGAAAACCAAAAAACGCATTCAAAAATTGGTAATAACAAAATTATGTTTTCTCTTTCAATTAATTAAGGTTTTTTAGTTGAGATAAACAAGTCAGTGTCACGAGCGGGATTCGAACCCACGACCTTCGGCTAGATACGCCGTTGCTCTACCACTTGAGCTATCGTGACACTGACTTTTTTATCTCAACTAAAAAACCTTAATTAATTGAAAGATATTAACTGGTCAAGTGGACCACGAAAATTAGTGAATTATGTTTTTTTACAAAGGTCAGATTTTTTTTTTAATGCTCCCGCAATGAGTAGAGGGGTGTAAATCTGATGTTTGGCCTGAGCCTCGATGATAATCGTGGAGAGGCATATGGGAGTCACAGGCTCGCATCTATAACTAGGTGTTATGCTTGCTATAAACAGGGTCATTTGCTCATGACCGCTCAGGGAGAGAGATTTCGGATGTTAAGGCAATATAAGTACCAAAAGACAGCCTCCACATGACAGATCACAGGTGGATTTAGCTCAAGGAAGGGTGGAATTCAAAACAGGGAACGAAACCCCAGTGATGATCCAATTACAATCATTCCGGGGATACAGTTAAACAAAGGGAACCATTAGCAGTTGATGTAACTCAGGAAAATGTAAACATCTAATAGACAATGGTGGAGGTTTCACTCCTTAGAAGGCCCATTTGAGGCGTTCCTCTCACCAAGTCAGAAAAAAGTCAAGGGGTAAATAAAGGCGCACTGATGGGCCAAAGAAGAGAGAAGTTGAGAGTCATTTTCTACAATGAGGTGAACTTTCATGTAGCCGAGATGATCGTCCACGATAGGATTTAAGACATGGACGCCCTGAGCGCTATGGATGTAGTAATATCCGCCAAGGCAGGCATACTTCACATACTGCAAGTAACATAGCCAGAAAAGGAAATCACAAGGACGTTTAGAGCCAAAGGGAAATACGAAGGTAGGAAGGAAGACACAGAGAAAGGAAGAGACCATATGATGGCAGGTGTGGAGAACAGATATGATGAGAAAGAAAATAATTTTATGGGCATACCTCGTAACAGAAGTCACCCTACTCCCGTAGTAAGAGGGGTTGGTAGTAGCAACGGTCGCGATACCAGAAAGCACCAAAGTATTTTTTGACTGGACCTAGAAGGAACGACGGCCCGACTAGTACGTCGATATGATAAATGAACAAGGGAGAAACTGGGTTCAAGTAATTAACTTGGGTTTCGAGTCGCAGGGGCTACAGAATTGAATTAGATCGGGGTTCATTGAAGTTGCGAACACCAGGAACGTCCATGTTATAAAAGAGGAAGGACAGAGTCTACATACCACAAAAGTGCAGAAAACGAAAGGAAAGGACGAGAAGTTACAACATATGGACTCAGGGGATAAGAAAAAGTTTATGAATATATTACAATTAATTAAGGTTTTTAGTTGAGATAAAAAAGTCAATGGTACGAGCGGGATTCAAACCCACGATCTTCGGCTTGATACGCCGCTCAACCGCACCTTTTGAATTTTCCCTCCTTTTTGCCATTTTTCAAATGTCGTGTAATCGGATTGGATTCTCGATGACAAATAAAATGGCCACGGAGAGCTTTAGTGAAGTATACTTTTAAATCATTAAATTCACTAATTTCATGGTCTGCTTGACCAATTAATATATTACAATTAATTAAGGTTTTTAGTTGAGATAAAAAAGTCAATGGCATGAACGGGATTTGAACCCACGATCTTCGGCTTGATATGCCGCTGTTCTACCACTTGAGCTATCGTGACCTCGATCCACTTGGACACCAATCTCCCATCTCAACCGCACCTTTTTGAATTTACCCTCCTTTTTGCCATGTTATTTGTCGTCGAGAATCCAATCCAATTACACGACATTTGAAAAATTCCTATTCCTTTATTTTTGTTAATTCCTGGATCCTTGTTCTCCTTTTGGGAGTGTGCCCACTCCTCGTTCAATTAAGTGTATTTGCAATAGTATTTGTATTGAATGATTTAACTAAGTTGAAATTTTGATTTTTTTCTGTAAAGAGGATTTTTTTTCTAAGACTTTTATGTATGTGTGTTGTTTTATATTTCTTGTTATATTTATTGTTTCTGTTTGGAAAATCTCAGAGTTGTTTGGTCAAGGACCGAAGGGTTCATTGGGAAGACTAACAAAATTATTGGTAGCAGAGCTTGGTTTTTGAAGTTTGCCAGCTGAGGATTTAAAAAATAGCTGAAAAACTCAGTATTCCTGTGGCAAATATGGCCGTTTCCACATGTAAGCCAAAGGGAAAGTCCGAATCTGATCCAAGATCAGCTTATTGATCAGGAAAGGAATGAGATCACAGAAGCCTGCCAAAAACTTTAGAACTATCAAAAAATTCTTTACAGAAAAACACTAATACATAAATCACTTCAATACAAATACTATCGCAAATACACTTAATTGGACGAGGACGACTCAAGAAAGGAACAAGGATCCAGGAATTAATGAAAATAAAGGAATAGGCTCACTAGTGTTGACTCCAGTGTCTCCAGCCACTTAATGCCTTTCTCCCCACTTTTCTTACCACTCCTCGGGGAAGAAGGTCCCCACCAGGGTTGTTTGTATACCAAACAAGCAAAATGTATGCATTAATTAATTTTGAAACCTTACAATTTTACAGTTATCCTAATGGCATTTTTCTCGATTTCGTCGATTCTTACTGCATAAAGATCTCGTTTTTATCAAAACTTCTTTAATATGTCTGAAAATACTAAAATTTCCTCTGATCCTTCCGATCCATTTGCTCATTGAATTTTTTTACTTTATTTTTAAATAAAATGCTTCCCCCTTAATTACAACCTATAAATGTCATGGCGTCCTCAATAATTTAGTCATTGACAAAAGGCTCGGTTTGAACCTGGCGTACTTACAATGAGGTTAATTTTATTTGTTTTATTTTAGTACATATTGCCTGCTCTCTGGCAGACAGTTGTAAACCATAGCCATAGTGTACTTTTTTATATTATAATTATATTGTAAAATATTATTCTTACATTCATTGACAAAAAAAGTACTTTTTCATTTATTCATTTTTAATTACTAATTTCAATAATTTCGTGGTCTGCTTGACCAATTAATATATTACAATTAATTAAGGTTTTTAGTTGAGATAAAAAAGTCAACCCACGATCTTCGGCTTAATAGGCCGCTGCTCTACCACTTGAGCTATCGTGACCTCGATCCACTCGGACCCCAACTTCCCATCTCAACCACACCTTTTGAATTTTCCCTCCTTTTTGCCTTTTGATCGTGGGTTCGAATCCCGCTCGTGCCATTGACTTTTTTATCTCAACTAAAACCCTTAATTAATTGTAATTCTTAATTACATTTGAAAGAACACCAAAGGCGTATTACTTATAATAAATAAATAAACTTAAAAAGTTAAATCATTAATAAAAATAAATATATAACTACTTACTGAATATTTCATTCTTTTCTTTGCCAAGACAAATAATCCCTTCTTTTTTAATTTCCGTTATAATCAAAGTGTACTGTTTTCCAATTGAAAGATTGGACTGATCCACTGATTTCAATAAGGAAAATTCAGGATAACCTTTTTTAAAACCAAACACATAACACTTAACCTGATAAAGATAAAATACGACATTTAAGACACAAACAGTTGAAATAAAATGTAAACACTTTTAAAAACTTACAGTTTCGCCGAGTGTATATTGTTTAATGTCTTTGATTAAATTTGTACTATTTATATTCACAGTGATTCCTTTGAAAAATGTTACTTTGATATCTTCTTCTTCTTTACCCGTTATTGTACCGTAATAAGCTTCCCCTTGTGAAACTTTTTTCAAGGATTTTAACGCAGGACCTGACAGTAGCAACGGATTAAGCGTTATTATCGCAGTATTGTAATTATCTTGAATTTTCAACACCTAAGAAAAAAGTAATTGTTTTAGCATGAGAAATTTTATTAACCAGTAGAATATATTAAAGTTCACATTTATTTTATTAGAACTCTAATAGTAAATTTCCTTACCCTTCCTTCTTTCTTTGAGCCAATTTTAAGGAAATGAGCGCTTCCAGGATCATCAGATACATGTTCGGAAGGAATAAAAGCTCTGAGCTTCCCAATCGTACCCACATAGCCGTTATGTTGCTTTTCAACTATAACAACATTAACGATCTGTCCAACTTTAATATTCCCAGTCGTTATTATCTTTTCATGGAGTATATCACTAAATTCAGAAAGTAAGTTGAAAAAAAAATGAAAAAAAAAAGTATGTCAACTTGGGAAAAAAACTTACTCTTCATTTGAACAAGAATACATCGGCTCTATATAATCATATCCTAAGACCCTGACTGAAATGTGGTTTCCGACTGGAAAACGATCGACTTTTTCTTCAAAACTTGTCATATTTGACAATCTACGATGTGTTATCATTCCTCTGTAAATTTTCTCATTGTGGTTCAGTTGTAACATCACTCCTCGTGCATTTACTTCTAAAATCTAAAACACAATTTGGTAATAATAAAAAATTATAAAACTGTCACACTGTACTGACCTTAGCTCTTTCCAATAAAGTACCATCCTTGATTTCCTTCTTCAATACCGAATGAGGTTTGATAGTCATACTGAAAGCTGTTAACTCGCTAAAAGGATATTTGTAAAGCACTCCCACTGACACATCAGTCCCAGCCTTATAATCGCTTAGTTTTGGGGAAAGCAAATGACTATGCAATATGAATCCACCAAGACAAGAATTGTTCAACGTGATATACACAGCATTTTTTTTAACCTAATAAATAATTTTAACATAAAAAAATATATATATATACATACACACAAAGACAAAAGAAACCGGACACTTGTATTTATTGCCTTATTTTTCATAATAACTAAATATAAAGATTAAGTGTTTCTTAATGGCCTGTAGTTTCATACTTTTGTAGTAGTGATGAGCAGTCAAGAATGAGGTAGTTAAGAAAAACACCTTTTTCATTTTTTGCCGACATTTCAACCTTTATTCGGGTCATATTCAGGGCATAAAGTGTGGTTCTATTCTTGGTGGTATCATATTGGGTTTTATACAAAAACTCAACAAAAAACTGAAGATGACCCTAATAACAGTTGAAATATAGGCAAAAAATGAAAAAGGTGAAAAAGTTGTTTTTCTAAACTACCTCATTCTTGACAGCTCATGACTTCAGCAAAATATAAATATTAATTACAATTAATTAAGGTTTTCAGTTGAGATAAAAAAGTCAATGGCACAAGCGGGATTCGAACCCACGATCTTCGGCTAGATACGCCACTGCTCTACCACTTGAGCTATCGTGACTCGATCCACTCGGACACCAACTTCCCGTCTCAACCGCACCTTTTTGAATTTTCCCTCCTTTTTGCCATTTTTCAAATGCCGTGTAATCGGGTTGGATTCTCGACGACAAATGAAATGGCCACGGAGAGCTTTAGTAAAGTATACTTCATTTTAAATCATTAAATTCACTAATTTCGTGGTTCGCTTGACAAAATGGCAAAAAGGAGGGAAAATTCAAAAGGTGGGGTTGAGCTGGGAAGTTAGTGTCCGAGTGGTTCGAGGTCACGATAGATCAAGTGGTAGAGCAGCGGCGTATCTAGCCGAAGATCGTGGGTTCGAATCCCGCTCACAAATTGGTCAAGCGGACCACAAAATTAGGGAATAAATATTGATAGTTGACTTAAAACATAAATACAACATTAATAACTTGTTGTTTACCTTTATAAAGTGTTACTAATCATTTTACACTCTGACGATTAAAAATAAAGAAAATCAGTTCAATTTCATCCTTTCCAGAGCCAACTTGTCAAGTGAGTTAATTGGTTTTTTTAAAGTGTTTTTCGACAAAACAAAAAAAGTTTTTTCTTAAAAAGTTAAAAGTCTCATCCAAGCAGATGCTTTGGCCAACAACGCATCCGTTTCATAGCCCAAGTCATACATGTGCTATGGTCCACCATCCACAATGGTCAACTGCGGTCTCGTCCAACGGAAGTTTCAATCGACAAGAAGATAGCGGTCGACTGCGATGTACGAGGGCTAGAATTGATCAATGTACTCCTCTTACCGCTCTATGGAACCGTCATTTAACTCCAGAGAGGTACTCAACTATAAACGTTCCGTAATGTAAGAGTGAGCTCTAAGGTAGGCCGTCCACTGGAGCCGTTTTCGGCCGAATAGGGCCGGATGATCCAAAAATGAAGAAACAAATGAGCACGCGTCCATTAGAACCAATTCGTTCGGTCGTGTTGGGCCGTGTACGGCCGAAGCACTTTCCGATCCAAATAAAGTTGGATTTTCCAGTCCTATTCTTGGAATGGTTACTTCGACTTCAACTGTCAACCACGTGACATCAAACGCTCACCATTGTTTAACGCCGTTCTTTGCTTCATTTCGATGGATTGCGAAAAACTGATGTGTGGTTGAGGAGCAGGCTCTTGGGACATACGTGATCCACTGTATCATCGGAGAGATGTCTAGCGTAAGCTGTGGTCAAGGATAGCTTTAGAAATGGAACTTCCAATATTTTTGTTTATTTCTTTCATTCCATTTGTATGTAAACTAAGAATTTTCGAAAAGCAACAAATCTTCTACATCCATTTGGGCTGTGTCGTGAACTGACGAAAATCGGCTACAGTGGACGACGGCGTTTGGCTATATTGCCGGTCGTCCGTTTGGTCAAATAGTTCGGCTGTTGAACGGCCGTCGTAGTTCGGTTCCAATGGACGAGCAGCCTTAAAGTCATCAGAAGGCTTCATGAGTATAGCCTTAATGTCCCACATCAGGTTCTCTACTACTAGAGTAGAAAGGTGACTTCGCAAATCAACATCTCGCTTCGTCTCTTGAACAATGGGAGACTGCTCTCTCTCCAGAGATGAGTACCATTTTGGTATATGGCAATCAAATGACCAGGACCGGACATGAAGAACACTTTGCTTCATCTACATTACGTCAATCACAGCCTTGTCAAAAGTTAAGAGTTGAAGGAACTGCCCAGCTGACTCTGCATTACGACTTCATATAAACCTGGCGCTTATCTTCAACAGCGCGTATTTCTCCCCGTTCTCCGGACGCACAACATCCTTCTGACGAATCTCTCGCCTTTTCTGTGCTATAATCGTCTCTGTATGTTTTAAAGCAAATAATTTTTTTTAAACGACCTCTGGTGTTCCAAACATAACTAAAGACAGTCTGGTGTGGGGTGGAATCAACATCCATGATCGAACCAAACTGATTATCGAACAGAATGAATTTTTGACTGCAATAAAGTACATTGAGGAAGTTTTTCTTGAAGTTGTCAACCCATTTGCTCCATTTATTAGGGTCAACTTCGTGTCAATGTATAATGGCAGATTGTCACCGATTACTTGGAAGATGCAGGGAATACCACAATGAATTGGCCAGCATGGTCTACTGACATGGATCCTATAGAACACTTATGGGACATGACAGTGACAGGTCCAACAATCATTGAAAAGTTTCAAACCGCTCTTGTTGAGGAATGGGATTCTCTTTCACCAAAGAAAATCCGATCACTTATTTGTACGATGTCTAAGAGTCTTAAGGGGGGCCACGGTAGCCAAGTGGTTAAGGTGTCAGACTCTCAGCTAGTAGATCCCGCGGTCGTGAGTTCGATCCCCACCGTCGCCTCTGGACTTTTTCTGACACCTAAGGGGACCTGTGGCCGCAATTGAAAGAAATTGACACGGCACTCATCAATGGAAGGAGCGGGATCAGATCTCAGTGACCCTGAATTTGGTCCCAACCCCCTTCAAAAATGAGTTTCTTCGATGGAAGACACCACCACACCAGGGGCTCAAATTCACTCTTGTGTTGCGAGCCCCCAAAAAATGGAGCCAGGGATAAAGTACAATAAGCTGTACAGCCTCCAGTTCCTGGTATCCATTGTTTAAAAAAAAAGTCTCTTCAAAAGTTTTAAAATTAAAAGTCTTAAGTCTACGAAGAGTCTACAATTTTGGCCAGAGCAAAATAGGGTCTGCACCTTGACCCTTTGAGTCCTGTCCTCAACCTCTCCCTTCGTCATTTTCCAGCAGTTCCGATTTATATGTGTCCCGATATGAGCATCTCTCACTTTCCCCTTCAATTTTCCTTTAACATTTTCCCAAATTTCCCATCCTATTTTTCACTTCCTGAGCTAGAGGACAATCTACAGCATTGGGCCCCAACCTCATAATGACCTTCAGGGAGTGATTTTTTTTTTTTAATACAATCCATCCAAATTGTATTTTTTTCTTTTCTTTCCTTAATTTTAAATTTTTGTTTTAGTATTCAGCCCAAACAATGGGTAATTAAGAGCAACACCAGATAGTAAATTGTTATTTTAATTTTAATCTATCACTAAATGATTTTATATTGTTTTGATGCATTTTCTTTCAGACCATCATAATTAAGTAATTTTTAAAAAATTTACTAAAACTCGTGAATTTCTGATATTCATTATTTTGGTGTACATTAAAGTATGTTGTAATTAAAAATAGATATAGTTTGAAATAAACAACAATATACAATGTCCGGTATTTTTTCTTAATTAATTTACTTTTTTAAAGTCTAAATAAATCAAGTCACTTACTTCGTCAACAGTGGCATTAAATGTTGCACCAGGAATGAGCATTTCAGGAATAACTCTTGATGTCACTTCTTCACCAACTGCATCAGGATGTGCAGAAACTTCAATTATATTTGTCTGCTCACTTAGTTTACACTTAACCACCTTACACCATACTAACTGACCAGTGCCTAAATGACATGAAAAAATGTTTAATTTTTCAAATATTTCTGAATAAACATAATAAAATTATTTTATTAAATTCCAACTTCTTATTTCAAAAGCAGTACATGTGAAGCCAACTTTTAACACCCTGGCTGCCAATGTGTTTGTACGGAAATGTCACTTGTTTTAAATATTAATTAAAATATAAACTTCTGTATGAGGTATGTTGAAATTGTTTATAAAATAATGTATATTTTTGTTATTCAAGCAAACAAAGTACTCTACACTAAAGTCTTGCCATGTCCATATTATTTCTTTAAAAAATATTTAATATTTAAATTTTATTTTTGTTTACCTAAAACAAGCTATTAAAATAAATGTGAGGTGTTTAGTGACTGTTAATTAGTTAATGATTATTTGCAGATCATGAGAAGCGGTCTGGTGTGACATAGGTTTTAGAAAAACATTTTCTTTATCGTCCTACATGTAGTTGCATAATTTAAACAACACTTATAAATCCCAGACCCTGAAGATGATCTTAATAAAGATTGAAATGTTGGCACAAAAAAAATGTGTTTCTAAATCTACATCACACCAGACCGCATCTCACGATCTCCAAATAATTATTAAAATAATATTATACTTAATTTAAAAAAAATAAATAAATAAAATAAAATAAAATAACCTACATAATGGTCGTTTCTTATTCATCTGCTCTATAAAAACACTAGCATTTTCATTGCTAAGAAATGCAATAACACCTGGTATGCCAGTGAAAATGGTATAACCATGGTCAGTTTCACTCGATACAGCTCCAATAATTAGCATTCCTTTAAATACCTGAAAAAAAGTGACCGTTCAAAATTTAACCTAGGAAAGTGCATGTAAAATCAACCGAATTACACACCTGTGTAAAATTGAGTTCTGAATTGATTGCTGCAGGATTCATTGTTACACATATGTCACGAGAATCTGGACTACTAATTCTCTTACAGGGGTAACAATTCCCGACCGTGAACATTTTATGGAGATTAATTTTTTTCTTTAAAAAAAAAAATTGTAACAATTAGCTATTGGTTTTTACAATTGTGGTATTATAACAAAATACCTTTTCATTTAGTACATTGTTAAGTGGCTGAGAAATGTCCTTCACATGAATTTTAGCAGAAATCCTATTTGGAAGTTTGACAGATAGTGAGTTTGGATGAATCTCTACTACACAGCACATTAGCAATGTGCCCTCTGGAACCTAAACAAAAACAAGTTATTATTATATAGAAAAAAAACTAAAATTGTGTTTTTATTATCAAATAATTTAAGAATATAAATCATAAAATTAATTAATAAAAAGCTAGGATTAACAAGTATGTAAGTTTTCTTCACTGGTTTGAGAAGATACCTTTACAATTTTGACCAAATTCAGGTTTATAATCCTGCAGACCAAAGGACAACTCTCAGTTTTGGGCAAACACAATAAACAAATACATTATTAAGTTTATGCATACGATTCCTGTTAATTAGGTTAATTTCTATGCAGATATGATGTTTGTTGATCGACCTGCAGATAATCTATTAGGGTGCCAATCTTCACAGAAGTCATTGGACAGGTGAAAAAAGAACCTTTTTTCATTTTTTTTATATTTTTTAACAAAAAAAGGAAAGAAAGGTGTTTTTTTTAAATACCTTTTTTTCAATAATTAATAAAAAGCATATGTATGGCACATTGCCAAAAATTAATACATAGAAATTAATGTAGGGTTCCAATTTAAGTAGAGGTTATTAGACAGGTGAAAAAAAGGTTCTTTATTCTTTATGCATCTAATGACCTCTATGAAGATTTGGAACCCTACATTAATTTCTATGTATTAATTTTTGGCAATGTTTGTGCCATACTTATGCGTTTTATTCCTTAAACAAATGTTCCATAATTCCTTATGTTGCGATCCTTTTATTTAAAAAAATTACAATGCTAATATGATGGAGTTAAATCTATATGACTTTCTTCATAGTATATTCGTTGTCAAGTTTATTTTATCTTCTTGAGTGTTTATTCAATACGTAACTGAAAATATATGTGATGACATTTATAACAGATGCGAATACGGTTTTCCCAAGTGACAAACCTGTGTCATCAAAACTGAAAAAACTTATATTAGAATAAACAAGCTAGAAAAAACTTACCGGATATTTGAGAAATTCCACATTTTTATGACCAATCGAAGGCAACGATGCATAATTTTGCACCTTTGATTTTTTCATGCGCTCTCTCTCCCTTTTCCCAGGCTGTGCTTTTAACTTCTTCTTCGGCACTCGTTTGTCAAACTTTAACAAAATAATTTAACAAAAGTGAAAAAACCAAAAAGATCTAAGCTTAAAATCGACTTACAATAAATGTTCCTTTGCGTTTCAAAGATCTTTCCTTCCCCTCATCGTTTCCTCCACGTGGAAAATAAACATCATCGTCGTCTTGAATTGATACCATTTTATCAAATTTAATTAAAATATAAAATATCGACCTTTAACACGATATAATATAATACACCCTAAGAAACAACTTATAAACAAACAGCACGTGGTTCTGGAAGGTTGCATACATTTGCACTTGGCCATGGGCCTTCGCACCATAGTTCCTCATGTCGCCACCAATAATTTATGTCTCCTCTACATAAAAATTATAACTTTAACTTTTACTAAAACTCAATTTTGTTAATAATACACTTAAATTAAGATTACATTAGAAAGACTGGAGCTTTTTTTTATGCCTATGTCCACCATTGACCATGGTTGACCATAGACCCATTCAATATTTTACTATTTATATTTTTTACATGTATTTTCTTTGTAACACTGTTTATTATTAATTATTTCAAAAAGCTTAAGGCTAAAATTTAAAAAAACATAAGTTATGTGCTAAGCTAATTCATTTTTAATTTCTTTTCAATCCTGAGTCAGTACTGAAAGACTTAAATTTATCATTCCTTGACTCCATAAGAACAATCAATATCATTTTCCTTAATATAATATAAATTTTAATGTTCCAAAAATCTTCAGCTATTATCCTGTATGAGTACTAAGCATCTATACTATTTTCTCAAAAATCCATTGATCCAGCTTTGCAATGAAAACTTATAATATTGATTTATACAATACGACTCACAAATTAAAGATTACAATATATGTAAAAAAAATGGTAAATCTTTTTTGAATCCTCGAACTGTGCAATTTTTTTCCTTTTCTTTTTCTATTATTTTTTTTACTAAGACCATACCAAATAAATATATTTCTATATAAAAAAATGATATGTTCTCCACTTCGCATACATCGAGGACAAGTTGGAAGGACAAAGGAAGAAAAAAAAAAAAACTTTGACTGTACCTTATAGCAAGCTATGAAATGGTATGAATGTTTTGATTTTATTTTGCCACTGGTATTCTCAGCAAGAGGGAAATAATGGTGCTTTCAAAATTGTAATACATCTTCGGTTTGATTAAGAACAAACTATCTATTTCATTTTATAATCAAAAAGTTTCAAAATACAAAATTTGTGTAGTTATAACTACATTAACATCAAACCTTCGTTTGTTTTATTTTTTGTTAGTACATTGGATTAAAAAGAAAATAGCAAAAGGTTAGAAATTATGTAGGTGGGGTGAGTATGATAGATTAGATGATTATTATGATATATTGATATGATGATATACCATACTTACCCTGGCTTCATCATTTCTATTAATTTGCTAGTCAAATTCAAAGCATTTAATGGATTACAACACAATTAATAACACTACCTTGGCAGACGACTAGATCATGCCATTACAAGTATTATTTTGTTATTTTGTAAAAAAAATGTAATATTTTGTTTTCTTTTCTAAATATACTTTTATAAATAAAATAATAACACTACCTCCACTCATCTAAAATTAGCCAGTAAAGGCGAACTTTTAAATCTTCATTTTAAATTAAGACTTTCATGCTCGAAAATGATCAATTCAATCTGGTTCAATTTCCAATGCTTGAAATTAAACTTAACCCCCCAATTTTTTTTTTCAACGGTTTGCAACAGCAAAGGTCATATCAACCCTCAGTGTGCCGGTGTTTAAAAAAGAAAATTGTAGGTATTCCGGGTTTGGATGCAAGCCGGCCATTGGATTCGAACCCAGGACCTTTACATTACAGTGTCAACATCTAAACCGTTGCGGCCACTGACAACCCCATTTGTTGTTGCTATATTAAATTTAAAAAACTGTTCAACTGAAATGCCCAAAAACCATATTAAATAATGAATTATATAAATTATATAGACAAAGAGATATAAAACATGTTTACCAATATCTTGTTCACATTAGGCTTACCTCATTATTGTCTCCATTAGATTGGAATAAATTTGATTATGAACTGCCAAAAGTTAAAATTTCTTGGCTCCATATAGAGAATGCATAGGAATGCCACCTGATATGAGAATTGTGCTTGAGCACAGCAGTGAGTATTTGGGCCTCCAGTTTTGGTTTTTAGAGGTATGTTTTATTATATATATTACTGATAGTTTTGTGTCCCTAACATGTGTTATGTGTGAATGTATTTAATAGCATGAATACTTTCCTGCTTCCTGTGAAATATTGAATACCCCATCAACACTATACACTATATTCTGAACCAGTCGTTAAAAACAGGTATTTTCCCCAATGCGTGGAAAAGCACTTTTGTCATTCCTCTACATAAAGCTGTCGATAGATCTAATGTTTTCAATTACAGACCAATATCTATTCAATCCATGTTCTCCAAAAGATTTGATTCTATTATTTGTAATAAACTTAAAAANTTCTCTCCTCTCTCAACTACAGCTACATGTCCATTCGCACTCTCTTAAAACCTATAAATTATTTTATATTGAATTTCAAAGCTCTAACTACATGCTCTCTTCTCCTCTACACAGAATGATGATCAAGAGTAACAACATCTGCAATAGCATTGACTTCTTCAATAGTTCTGTGCAATCTGTGAAAAACCATATCCTACAACTTTAGTTGAATGCTTTTATATTCATACTGTACAAAATTATTACAATTTATTTCATTTACTGGTTCAACTAATTCTCGCACTCTAGTCTTATTATATATTTACAAAGAGCGTTATTTTCATTAAATATGTACCTAGTTATTGAAGTTTCAATTGTCTTTCAGCTTTATTTTGTTTCCTCTGCCTTATTTGGTTAGTAATTATGTCTTTCATTTTTGTTGTTCAGTTTTTTACTCTTTAATTGTATTTTTATATTTATCATTTATATTTACCATTTATATTATTACCATGTATATACGTCCTTATCTTTTTATATATATTATTTGTATTTTTACATATATCATTTATATTTTTTGTTATTGTAAAATGTCTTTTTTTATAGTGGATTTCGATCCGTAAATAAATAAATAAACCCTCAATTAGGTTACACATTATAGAAAAGGTGTAAAGGGAGGAATATGGAGTACTCCACCACCCTAATTGAGTGAATGGTGTGAAAATTAGAATGTATTTAAGAATGAGTGAGTTTGGATTTAGGAATTGATTGTATTGGCGGCTGAAAAGATCTAGCTGTTGATAGCCCCTGGAGCCCAACCATCAGCTGGACGAATAAGACCAAAGTCTGACTACGGATCACCAGCACCAGGGATGGAGTGATTCTTGAGATATGCTGGTAATTTATTATTGTATGTATAAAACAACTATTTCACTGCCCTATTTAATTTAGATAGTCTGGTCTGACTCCTCAGTCCAGAAGAAAGAATTTAGACAAATTTTGTCACCCTTTGGCCTAGTCTTCACTCGAGTAGAACTAGCCAAGTCTATAATTTCATGTTCCCCTTGGACTTTTATGTAGTATGAAAAATCAAACTGTTCAACAAGTTTTCATTTATTTTATTTAACAAGAGAGATAGTTTGACATTATTTATCGATAATATTTAGAACTTTTACATACAAGTTCATTCAGAGAATGCGAGATGTACAAAATAGTCGTTTTTTATTTTGGCTTGTTTTTCTACAATTTGTTAGAAAGGAAATTTTAAATGAAGCTTCCTTTTTTGTCAATTAGATTTGATTTATTAAATCATCAGGGCTACAAAAATAACTGCAGGTTACAGTTAAGGTAATTTATATAGCATTTAGATTTTAATATTTTACCTCTACTCACAGAAATTAATATTTTAAAATTCACAGTTTTTATTTTAAAAGGTCCTGCTTTAATGTAGCATTCAACTACAGTTTGGTTTGTTTTGGAAAATATTCATTTTTGAGAATAGCTTTTATTTTTTCTTCAATTTTTAGAACAATACTATACAACAATACCGTTTTCAGTTTTTGTTTACCAGAATGTTGATACCTGTATGATCATTTTTTAACTCTGTTAACAATATTTTTTCTTTTTTGGGGACTGCGGTAGTGAAATGGTTAAGGTGTCAGACACTCGGCTAGTTGATCCCGTGGTTCTGGGTTCGATTCCCATTGTTGTTCTGGAGTTTTTTCTGATGCCTAAGCGGACCAGTGGAAGGTCTGGGTGGGATTGGATCTCAGCAACCCTGAATTTGATCCTGATACTCTTTGGAAATGAGTTCTTCAATGGAAGAACACCAGCACGCCAAGGGCTCAATTTACACATTGCAAGCCCCCAAAAATGGAGCCAAGAAGGAGTGCAGTAAGCTATAGCTGTAGTGCTTAGAAAGGAACTCTTCCAATTAAAAAGAAATAAACAAAATAAAAAAAATGTATAAAAGTAAATAATATTAAAAAGAGTTTTTCTACCATTTTTTGTCCTTTTTATTTGACTACATTCCACAACATTAAATCCTTCAAATATTTACAAAATAATTTATAACACAAATTCAAACTAGTGAACACTTATTTCAATTTTGTGTAAATAATCATTTCTCTAATTTTTCTTTTTCTAATTCTGTCGTTTTTAATTTTTTATTGTAACACTTATTCAAGTTATAATAATATTTTAAGCCAACTCCTGCCATAATTACTTTGTAATTATCAGTTGCTTCTGGAAGAAGTTTCTTTCTTTCTTCAAATACTTTTTTCTGATAGTTGAAAATTTTACGCTTCACATTCATATTCAACGAATGAAGAAATGCTAGCAACAGTTTTTCCACTTTGAACAGTTTAGAGTTGTAAATGTTCAGCACCATATTTCTCCGTGCTTCTGTTGTAGTTATGGTTGTACAGTTTGATAAAGTATACGACTCGTTTTTTACTGCATTGAGTTTTTCCTGAAACTTGCTCTCAAGGATCCAAATTAAGCCTGTAGTTGTGATCTCAATGTTCAAAATCATCTTGCTAACTTCTTTCCGCATTGTATTAAATTTTTCTTCATCGGTCTCTGCCTTTAATACAAAATAGACAATATGATATTAAAGAAAACAATAAAAATTTGTTCACTGGCATGAATATGTATTTGTTCATGAGAAACATTGATGACATATAAGCACACATGTTAGACCATGCGACTAGACTATATAAGTTACTTAATTTCATTTAAAACCACCAAAAAATTCTAGATACCAAATTTTTAAACTTTGTATCCTTTGGTACGAATAAACAGTATATTTTG